TCAGGCAATTCTCCTGCCTCAACCTCCTGAGTAGCTGGGATTACAGGCACGTGCCACCATGCCCAGCTAATTTTTTGTATTTTTAGTAGAGACGGGGTTTCACCGTGTTGACCAGGATGGCCTCGATCTCTTGACCTCGTGATCCACCCGCCTCGGCCTCCCAAAGTGCTGTGATTACAGGCTTGAGCCACCGCGCCCGGCCCTTTGCACTCTTATAATTTATCTAGGACAGCAAAGAGCTTGTGCTTATGTGGCTTACATCTGTCTATATTTACCATATTAGAAACTAAAATTGAGAGGTTAAAAATGTGTTTCTCAATTCATTTAAAAATAACAAAAATAAAGTTGTTATATATTCATATATACGTTTTGACAAATAACTATATTTTTCAAAACAAAAAAAAAAGCATCATCTTACATTTTTGCAAATCTCTTCAATGTCTCACTTTTTAATAGAAAATAAGGTGGATTCACTTTTCTGTATTAAATCTGTTGTGATATCATGTCAGTTGGCCTTCAGAAAATTCCACTATATACTCTTAAGAAAATGAGTTTTAAAAGGCAAACAACGATTAGTATTACTATAAAAATTGACCTTGTGGACCCCCCGAAAGGGTCTTAGGGCCCCTTGGGTGTTTCAGACAGAGGTTGGGCAGTGGCTGATGGGGATTGGCAGGTTCTACTGTCATTTTCACTAACAGGAAAAAGTGCAAAAGCTTGTGAACGAGAGTGGAATGAGAATCTATGCATTCATGCCTTTTGTTGGTATTCTTTTCTATTTATATTGGTATTCTTTTCTATTTATATTTATTTCTATTTTTTTCTATTTATATATTTTTTAAATGTATAGATCAGGTGCCATGGCTCACACCTGTAATCCAAAGCTGGCAGATCACTTGAGGTCAGGAGTTCAAAACCAGCCTGGCCAACATGGTGAAACCCCGTCTCTACTAAAAATACAAAAATTAGCCAGGTGTGGTGGCACACACCTGTAATCTCAGCTACTTGGATGACTGAGGCAGGAGAATCACTTGAACCCGGGAGATGGAGGTTGCAGTGAGCTGAGATCATGCCACTGCACTCTAGCCTGGGTGACAGAGCCAGGCTCTGTCTCAATATATAATATATATATGGATATGTAAATGTACATATTTATAGTATACATGTAATATTCTGATATAAGTATACTATGTGTAATGATCAAATCAGGGTATTTAGGATACCCATAACCTCAAATGTTTATCATTTCTTTGCATGAGAATATTCCAAATCCACTCCTCTAATTATTTTGATATCTACAATAAATCATTAACTATAGTTGCCCTATTGTGCTACCAAACACTAGATCTTATTCCTTCTAAGTTGGAGAGTCAAAGTGTGGGTGTTAATATGTTATCAACATTAAGCATTATATTTCTTCCTCACACTGGCCCTGCACATTATAATTATCTGTATGTATTTATCTCTCCACCGGAGCACCTTAAAAGTAGGGACCATTCTTACATTGGTATCCTCAGCACCTACCACATAGCAGGACCCAAGATAGGTTCTCAAGTTCAAAAAGGTTTGTGAATCGATCCACAAACAAAACCCTTCCTATGTAAGCATGCGAAGTGACATCTCTCCTCTAACGCAGATTTTAAAATCTCACCTTATCCAGAAAGAACTTTCAGAGTGACCTTCTGAAAGCTTTGTTGGACTCTAGGCCCATCCTGGGGCTCCAAAGGTTAGGTTCCCCTTTGCTATACCTGTTCCTCTTTTCACAGCTCTCTATCCAACCCTATTTCTTCTCTACACAGGGCCATAGCCACCAAAGGGCAAAGGAAATCCTGATTCGAGATGGACCCAATACCCTTACCCCACCCCCTACCACTCCAGAATGGGTCAAATTCTGTAAGCAACTGTTCGGTGGCTTTTCCCTCCTACTGTGGACTGGGGCCATTCTCTGCTTTGTGGCCTACGGCATCCAGATATACTTCAATGAGGAGCCTGCCAAAGACAACGTGAGTCTGATCAGCTGCGACTATAGCCAGCCCAGTTTCTGCTCAGCCCCAGATACTCTCTTGCTCAGCAGTCTAGCACTCCTGAAGTCCTCTGGTCCAAATCCCTAACACTCCCAGCACTTTCTAAGAGAGCCCGGAGTCCATCTTGGTTCCTTTCGCCTTTTATCTAGAAAGCCTCTGGTCCAGCTCCCCGAGATACACAATGGTCCTCGAAAAAGTTGCTGTTTTTTGACGACTTTCCCAATTGATCCTCAAAGCACTTTGCAATCCCTTTCTCTTCTCCACAGTTTCAACCTCATCTCCTTCCTCCCAGCCTCCCTCACCATCTGCCCCTCCATCCCCTCGTCCACTGGTCAGCCTTCATAGAGAGAAAGATACCAGCCTTCTCCGACCAGGAATTTTGCTAATGGTTCACCACGGCTCAGGGTTCCTTCACCAGGAAGCCACGTGTACTGGCCCCACCTCAGGGTCTCCTCTACCCCTCTGCTCTCAACGCAGTCCTATGGTCTCTTACACCTGCAGAAACTGCTGTGACCCTTACAAACCCATTTTCTGAGGATGAAGAGGAAGACAAGGCGCCACTGATAAATGCTTTCTTTCCCCACCCCCAGCTCTACCTGAGCATCGTACTCACTGTGGTGGTTGTCATCACCAGCTGCTTCTCCTATTATCAGGAGGCCAAGAGCTCCAAGATCATGGAGTCTTTTAAGAACATGGTGCCTCAGGTAGGATCGGAGTGAGAGGAGCTAGTGGGAGGAGGAGCAGGATGTGGCTAAATACACAATGATGAAGTCCCATGGAAAATTATATCCCACGATGAGTAAGCCAAGTGAGGTTGGTGATGAGGGGGTCAGGGTACTCTATCAGTTCTAAAAGTACCTGGAAAAGCTGTGGAACCCTGAGAAAGACATAATGTCACCTATCAAATGGTCTGATCTAGAAGGCAAAATCTGAAACTAAAGAGGAAACACCATACAAACCCCAAATAAGAACTATTTTTTTAAAGAGACAAGTGTTGGTGGGGCTGAGGGGGCTGGATTCATCAAATGTCAATGACATCAAAGACAAAGAACAGCTGTGGGGATGTTCCAGTTTAAACAGACCAGGTATGGTGGCCTCTAATCCCAGCACTCTGGAGGCTGAGGCAACAAGATCACCCAGGAGTTTGAGATGCTATCTCTACAAAAATAAAATAAAATAGCTGGTATACGCCTGTAGTCCAAGCTACATGGGAGGCTGAGGCAGGAGGATTACTTGAACCTAGGAATTTAAGTCTGCAGTGAACTATGACCAACCTGGGCAAGACCCTGTCTCTGAAAAAAAAAAAAAAAAAAAGAGGCTAAAGAGACATGATAATTATTCTGAGGGTGGTGGCTCCCACCTGTAATTCCAGCCATTTGGGAGGCTGAGGCAAGAGGATTGCTTGAGTCCAGGAGTTCAAGACGAGCCTAGGTAGTATAGTGAGACCATATCTCTACAAAAAATTTAAAAATTAGCTGAGCGTGCCTGTAGTGCCAGCTACTCAGGAGGCTGAGGTGGGAGGATCGCTTGAGCACGGGAGGCGGGGATCATGTGCTACTGCACTCCAACCTGGTGAGAGAAAGAGAGAGACTCTGTCTCAAAAAAAAAAAAAAAAAAGACAGGAACATGACAACTAAATTCAATATCTAACCCTAGATCTGATTCTGTGCCAGAGGAGAAAGGAGTAATGCTTTATTTTTACTTTTTATTTTGAGCTTTTATTTTAGGTTCTGGGATACACGTGCAGGTTTGTCATATAAGTAAACTGTGTGCCGCAGGGATTTGGTGTACAGAGTATTTCATCACCAGGTAGTAAGCATAGTACCTGATAGGGAGCATTTCCATCCTCACCTCCTCCCACCCTCCACCCTCCAATAGGCCCCAGTGTCTTTGGTTCCCTTCGTTATGTCCATATGTACTCAGAGTTTAGCTTCCATTTATAAGTGAGAACATAAGGTATTTGATTTTCTGCTCCTGTTTGCTTAAGACAATGTCCTCCAGCTCCACTGAAAATAATGCTTTAAAGGATGTATTGTGTCAATTGGCAAAACTGGAATACTGACAGATTAATACAGTAGATTAAAGTGTCAATGTGAAACTTACTGAAATTGATAACTACATTGTGGTTAAGATAATATCTTAATTCTTGGGAAATGCACAATGAAGATTTTAGGATAAAAGATCATGATGTAGGTAACTTATTATCAGGAAAGTTCAGAAAAAGAGTGTACACACAGAGAGAGAACAAATGACAAAGTAACTAGGACGAAATGTTAATAGGTTGAGTCTAGATAAAGGTTATATAGGTGTTCTTGGCACTATTTTTATTCTTGCAACTTTTCTGAAAGTTTAAAATTATTTTCAAGTTAAATTTTTTGTTTGTTTGTTAGTTTGTTTGTTTGTTTGTTTGAGACAGAGTCTCACTCCGTCACCAGGCACCAGGCTGGAGTGCAGTGGCGTGACCTCGGCTCACTGCAACCTCCGCCTCCCGGGTTCAAGCAATTTTCCTGTCTCAGCCTCCCGAGTAGCTGGGACTACAGGCGCACGCCACTACGCCCAGCTAATTTTTTTGTATTTTTAGTAGAGACGGGGTTTCACCAAGTTGGTCAGGATGGTCTCGATCTCTTGACCTCGTGATCTGCCTGCCTCGGCCTCACAAAGTGCTGGGATTACAGGCTTGAGCTACCACACCCAACCCAAGTTAAATGTTTTTTAAAGGTACCTGGAAAGAATACTACAGTAAACAAGGGTTCCTAGGCACGGGGCTGGACACTTACAAAGGAATAGACTCCACATTTTCCCCGTAATAGGATCATGGTCCACTAGTATAGCCCAGGATTTCCTTCTCTCTTTGGTATCACTTAATTCCTTCCATGGTAAGAGTTTTGGGACAAAGTGTTTGGGCAGTTTTGAAGGCTAGGAGTTTGGAGATGGTCAGTTAGCTTTCGCTACCTAAAAAACCACCCCAAAACCTAGCGGCTTAAAATAGCAAACTCCTGTTTCTCATCATTCTGTGGCTGTGCTGTTTTTCTGGTCTGAGCTGATCTCAGCTGGGGCTGATGGTCTTAGATGACCTCATTCGCATGTCTGGCCCTCAGCTGAGATGACTGGGACAGCTGGGGCCTTTTTCTTCATGATGTCTCTTTTTACAGAGAGGTTAGCTTGGATTTGTTCATATGGTGGCAGAGGGTTCTCAGAACAGCAATGCAAGCCCCAACATAAAAGCACTTTTTTTTTTTTTTTTGAGACAGGGTCTCACTCTGTCACCCAGACTGACGTGTAGTGATGTGATCACAACTTACTGTAGCCTTAACCTCCCAGGCTCAAGTGATACTCCAATCTCAGCCTCCCAAATAGCTGGGACTGCAGGAGCATGCCACCAGACCTGGCTAATTTTTTTCATTTTTTGTAGAGACAGAGTCTCACTATGTTGCCCAGTCTGGTCTTAAACTCCCGGGTTCAAGCAATCCTCCCACCTCGGCCTCCCAGTGTGCCGGGATTACAAGTGTGAGCCGCTGCACCTGGTCTTAAAACACTTTTTAGACCTCCCCTTCCATTACTTTTCTTCTATGGGCCAAAGCAAGTCACATGGCCAACCCCAGGTTTAGGGGTAGAGAGATAGACTCCACCTCTTAAAGGGAAGAGCGTCAAAGTCATATTGCAAAGGGCCCTGCAAACAGCATCATAGGAGTTTGCCATCTACCAAAGACACCTTCAAGAATGAGGTGGTGGGGTGATGGTAAGAAAGGGGAGCAAGAAGGACGGAGACCAGTAACGGGAGGTTTTAGGCTAAGAGGGGGATGGGGGAAGCCAACAGTTTTGGAAACGATCATGCGCTGTCCTCCCATAGCAAGCTCTGGTAATTCGAGAAGGAGAGAAGTTGCAAATTAATGTACAAGATGTGGTGTTGGGAGACCTCGTGGAAATCAAGGGTGGAGACCGAATCCCCGCTGACCTCCGGCTTATCTCTGCACGCGGATGTAAGGTGAGGGGATGCAGAAAGCTCTGTGAGGGAACTAAGCGTGATCTCAGGGCAGGGTAGACACCTGGGCTCAGTTAGAGAAAGTATAAGCTTATTACTCAGACTCTTGAGAAGTTACAAGTAAGTGCAGATTTGATGTTAGAGGCCACAGGTATGTAAATTTCTCTTCTGTCCATGATGATGTTGGTGACCAGATGAAGACATGCTATCTTTGTAAATAAATCGGCCTTTTTTCTTATGCTCACCTTACAACCCATCCTCTTTCCCATCCCAGGTAGACAACTCGTCCTTGACTGGGGAGTCAGAACCCCAGTCCCGCTCCACTGACTTCACCCATGAGAACCCTCTGGAGACCCGAAACATCTGCTTCTTTTCCACCAACTGTGTAGAAGGTGAATATTGAACCATAAGTAGCATAGATTCAAAAGCAGACGCCAAAACATAAAGATTTGAATAACTGTCTCCTAAAGGTAGTGGGGTAGGGAAGAGCCAGTAAATGTCCAAGTTTCTCTGTCACTCGTGGGCTGTATGACCTCTGGTGAAAGGTCAAAGTCACCATTTCCATATTTGCACAATGATGACCATAAAAGCCATTGCTCCATAGATTTTTGTGTGCATCGAGGTAATATATGTAAAATGCCCAGCACACGGCCTAATACATTGTAAGTGACCTATAAGTATCAGCCATTATTATAGCTTGTGAATGGACTATGCTGTATAAGCTGAAAACGGCACAGAGGGAGGAAAATGGTTCAGCCCTGCTAGGTCGTTTTTCTCCTAAGGTAAGCCCTAACTTCTAACTGTTCCCCTATCCAAAAGAAGATAATTGCATTGGAAACTTGAATTACCAGAGGTGCCACTTAGCCTTTGCTACTCAAACTTTGGCATTGCTCCTAGAATCTAGGAATCCTTGAACTGGGAGGCAGTTCTGGGCACAGTGGTAATAAAAAGGACTGAACATCATGATATCAATCTCTCCTTTCCCCTTTCCCCTTAAGGAGACCTGAAGACTCTATGGAGCACACTTGAAAACCATTATTCAGTCGGGCATGGTGGCTCACACCTGTAATCCCAGCACTTTGGGAGACCGAGGCAGGTGGATCATTTGAGGTCAGGAATTCGAGACCAGACTGACTAACATGGTGAAACCCCATCTCTACTAAAATACAAAAATTAGCCAGGTGTGGTGGCAAGCACCTGTAATCCCAATTACTTGGGAGGCTGAGGAAGGAGAATCACTTGAACCCGGGAGTTGGAGGTTGCAGTGAGCCGAGATTTCACCACTGCCCTCCAGCCTGGGTGACAGAGTGAGATTCCATCTCAAAAGAAAAGAAAACCATTATTCATGCTTAAGAACACATGTTTGGGTATCTAAAAATAGTTCTTTTGTTTGTTTTGTGTTTTCTTAAGACAGAGTCTCTCTCTGTTGCCCAGGCTGGAGTGCAGTGGTGCCATCTCAGCTCACTGCAACCTCTGCCTCCCAGGTTCAAGCAATTCTCCTGCCTCAGCCTCCTGAGTAGCTGGGATTACAGGCACGCACCACCATGCCCGGCTAATTTTAGTATTTTTTGTAGAGAGGGGGTTTCACCATGTTGGCCAGGCTGGTCTCCAATTCCTGACCTCAACTGATCCACCTGCCTCAGCTTCCCAAAGTGCTGGGATTACAGCCATGAGCCACTGCGCCCAGCCTAGAAATAGTTATGTTTTTTAATTGAATGCATAGTGTATGTTAAATGTTATAAATATTATCTCTAATTCGCACAACGCTTACAGTACCAGATATTATCCCTATTTTACATAGGGCAGACTAAGCTTCAAAGAAATTAAGCACCATATTCAAGAGTACAACTCAACAGAAAGGAGGCGGGTCAGGGATTCTAATGTAGGTCTGTCTCTGCAGCCCATGCTCTTTTCACATGCCCTGCTCTGTACTGAAAGATTGCTAATGACCTACCTGGTAATAAAATTATTTAATTTGAAAATACCTTAAAGGAAAAGAGCAATGTGAAGACTGAATAGACTAGGAGAAAGAATCCAACTAGAAAATAAAATACATATATATAAAAATGTTTTAAAATTGATTAGACAGAAAGATGCAAGTTAGCAAGCTTTCCCCAAAACCACTAGATAGCTACTATTAGATTTTAGGAAGAAATTTGCCCAGGTTTCCTCTTACAAAGTAGGGTTTTCACCAGCTAAGCATGTGTTCAAATAAAGGGTATAGAGGAAAGCGGGTGGTGGCATTTCGATTGGGAAACAAGGGTCTGTTTAGATAGAAAATGGTTTCGTAGGAGACTAAGAAAACTCAAGATGTGGCCGAGAAGGTGGAGCCAGGTTGAAGAAGCTGGGCTGAATGAGCCGTTGTGGAAGGACTTTCAGCTGAGGAATTTCTCAGCAATTTGCAGACCAATAGCATTTACCATAGACCAATTTGCCCTTTAACCTTTGCCCTAGACTTTTAACCTTTGCCTTAGATCAATTTGCAGACCTTCGCCCTTGCCTCCCATCTCTCATCACCGCAGACCTTGACATGGCTGTGGAACAGACATCTCTCTTTGGGTTCACATCTTCAAGGGAGCCCATGCTATTTCTCTGGCAATATATGGAAGGTGTGGGAAGGAGTCAGTCTGGCCTGATGTGCCAGATGCTCAGCCTTCTCAGCCTTCCCCAGAGTCAACATCAACCTAACCCCGTCTCTAGACACGGTAGACCATACTCTACCCTGCCTCCTCCACCCCACCAAAAATTTAAAACTCCTCAGCAGCTCTCAAGTATTTCAGTGTCTTCGTTCCACAAGTATATGCCTTTGGCAACCAGTTGGAAACCCATCTGTTGAATGCCTCAGCCTGGTAGTCTCTTCGGGATTCCTCCTCCACCTAAACACTGAAGGCTGACCTGTCTGCTCCACGAGTAGGACCCTGCTCTCAGACTCATAGGGCTAAAGGCAGCCTTAGAAACGGAGACCACCATGTGCTGCAGTGTTCATGGGTGCTCCCAGGTTACAGCTGCCCCGGCTAAGTCACAAGTACGATTTTATGTTAGTCCTTCTGGACACCCTCAATTCATCTAAATGATGAAAAGAAAGAAACTAATTTCGAGGGCCTATGATGTGCCTAACCCTCTTCTAGACTCTTAAAAACATTCAATCCTCACGCTTTAGTAAGCACTTTTATTCCGTTTTAAAGATGAGGAAGCCTGACTCTCAGCGTTTAAGTAACTTGCCCCAAGGGAAAGAGCTAGTAATCTGGAAAGCTAAACTTCCAGCCCTGCGTCTTTCTGCTTCTAAAATAAATGCTGTTTCGATGACATGTTGCCTTTCTGAGCGATTCTGACTCTGACTGACTTCCACGGTAGAAATTTCAGTCATTACGGTAACGCAGGAAGAATTACTTTAAGGAAGGAATCTTGTCAAGCCCCTCATTTCGAGCCGTGTAGATGAGTGGCCTGCATCGTGTCTGTGTAAAGCCAAACATGATGTCCAAGCTGCCCTCTGACTGGGGCGGTGCTGGTGGAGGAGGACCTCATAAGCACAGAAGCCCAACTGTTATGGCCCGTGCTACCCAGCAGAGGTCAGACTGGCTCCAGCCAGCAAGGCAGGGAGGGGGCTCAGGTTAGAGCAGCATTTCTCAACCACCCACACTTGGGGCTGGATAGTCCTTTGTTGTGTGGGAGGGGAGGGCTGTCCTGTGCATTGCAGGTTACGTAGCTGCATCCCCAGCCTCTACCCACTGCATGCCAGTAGCAGCCTTCTACCACCCCAGTTGTGACAACCAAAATGCCTCCAAGCATTGCCAAATGTCCCCCGGGGGTGGAGGGTTGGTGGGTGGGACTGCCTCCAGTTGAGAACCACTGGGTTGTGGGATAAGGGGATGCTGGAACATAGGACTCTACCAGAAGGGTAACCACTATTCCTGAGATCTAGAAACTCCTCAGCTGCTGAGGGCAAGGTAAGAACTATATAGGCAACAGAAGATACTCAGATTAAGTGTGATAAGGGCCTTCTCGACAGTGAAGGCATTTAGGCAATAACATTGGGTATTTCTGGAGAACTGTGAGACTTCTTCCGAGATTTTTCAGACTGGAAGACCTTTATTGTATAAACTAAATATGAGGAGAGAGAACACAATGACCTCTCAGAGGGCCTTGAGTCTCCGCTTTGTTTTTGACCATTGACAGCTTCCTCTTTGTAGGAACCAAACCCAGCAGCTTCCCCAATTCAGTCTTTTTCTCCCTGCACTCACACTGAACACAGAACACTTCTGCGTCCAACACATGCAGACAGTTCTCCCCACCAAAAACCAGTTCTCCTAAGAACGATGACTGGGTGTCCTATAAATTCAGTTCAGTTCTGACACAATCCACCTGGGGATAGCATCAGACCCCACAGGTTAGAGTTCAGCCCCAGAGACAGTCCCCAACTCTAGACACCAATTGCAAGTCCCAGGTTGTGGCCCGACTGTAAATTGGGGTTCCCAAGACTCCCTCCCCAGGTTTGATTAATTTTCTAGGACAGCTCAGAGAACGCAGGGAAACATCTTACTTAGGTTTACCCATTTATTATAAAGGATATTGTAAGGATACAGATGAATGGTCACATGGAAGAGACGTGTAGGACAAGGCATGTGGGAAGGAGCATGGAGGAGCGTCCGTGCCCTCTCCTGCCTGGCTGCCCCCCAGTAACCTCCACGTGGTCACACACGTAGACACTTTCCAAACCCAGTCCTTTGGAGTTTTTAATGGAGGTTTCATTACATAGGTATAATCAATTACATTATTGGCCATTGGTGACCAACTCAACCTTCATCCCTTCTCCCCTCCAAAGGGTCAGTCCATAAACTGCAAGTTCCAACTCTAATCACATGATTATCTGCCCTGGCCACCAGCCCCATCCTGTGACTATTCAAAAACCTACCAAGGGTCACCTCATTAGAACAAAGATCCTCCTATCACCCAGGAAATTCCAAGGCATTTAAGAGTTCTGTGTCAGAGGCTCCTGTCACTCAAGACATTACAAAGGTCTCGGGAGTTCTGTGTCCAGAACTGGGTCAAAGACCAAATATCAGGACCAAAGATTCCCCTAGCACCCCTATCTTCAAGGGTTTTAAAAGTTCTATGTCAGGAAGTGGGGGCAGAGACCAATGTCCATACTTCTTACCATACCTCAACATCACATTGGCCTCTCCTGCTTCATCCACAGGAACCGCCCGAGGTATTGTGATTGCTACCGGAGACTCCACAGTGATGGGCAGAATCGCCTCCCTGACATCAGGCCTGGAGGTTGGCCAGACGCCCATCGCCGCTGAGATCGAACACTTCATCCGTCTGATCACTGTGGTGGCCGTCTTCCTTGGTGTCACTTTTTTTGTGCTCTCACTTCTCTTGGGCTATGGCTGGCTGGAGGCTATCATTTTTCTCATTGGCATCATTGTGGCCAATGTGCCTGAGGGGCTGCTGGCCACGGTCACTGTGAGTAGACAGGGTGGAAGGTGGCCTCAGGGCAGACAAACCACCTCAGGGAAAAGGAATCACTAACATCTCTTTCATTGTTGAACCTTTCAAGTGCAGAGTCTTCCCAATTCGGACACAAATATCAGGAATGATTTAGCTCTTCATATTACACTGACTCCTTCTGCCCTCCCTCAATGAGAGAGGAAGCACGTTTCAATGGAAAATGCATTGGATTATCAGTCACTGAGTTCTAGCATTGACTAAATCACTAAACATCTCCAGACCTCAATTTATTCATCAGTTTATAGAGGAAGATTAATTTAGAATTATAGAATCTTACAGGAAAGGACTTCAAAGACCATATAAATTCAATTCAACCTTTCAACCAATGCTGAATATCCTCTCTAAAACTCATAGGAGATGATTATTATTTCTGGTAATTGGGAAGCCCACCCCTTTCTGTCTCAATTCATTTCATTGTTCGCTTGCTCTATTTAAATTTCATTGTGTTGAGCAGAAATATAAATCCCTGTTTGTCCTAAGTTTGTCCCAGCTGAAGAAACACAAAATAAGTCAATTCCCTCTCTTCTACAGATAACCCTTTAGATTTTTGATGGTAGCCATTGCGTTCCCCCAAACTCTCGGGATGGGAGGTGAAATAATCCCTCCTCTTAGACATTCTTCCTATGACATGACCTATAAAGCACCTGTCTTGATGATCAGCTGTTTGGGGTATACTCTAGTTTGTCAGTATTCTTAAAAGAGAACTGAGAATAATAGCTGGGGTGTGTTTGGACTAGCACAAAAATGTTGGGACTAGCGATATTATGTAAATAAATTATAACCCCTAAACCTATGATTATGTAAGTAAGTCCATACTTACATAACCACAGCCTAAGAATTCATTAGCTTTTTAAAAAATCCTGCCTCACAGTTAACTACATTGCCCTTACGATCAACAAAAGTCTTTCGGTTTAAATGATTTTTCAAGTCCTTCCCCATGCTGTGATATTATTGGTATCTCCTCCACATTCTTTGTTTAAACTATTGGTCCAACATTCCCTCCACATCTAGCATCTTATGCCACCGTAAAAGATTAGCTGTCTATGTGGTCCCTGGAAAGACTGGACTTAAAGAGGTGTGGCTGGCCGGGCATGGTGATTCACACCTGTAATCCCAGCATTTTGGAAGTCTGAGGCAGGTGGAACTCGAGGTCAGCAGTTCAAGACCAGCCTGGCCAAGATGGCGAAACCCCATCTCTACTAAAAATACAAAAATTAGCCAGGTGTGGTGGCGGGCGCCTATAATCCCAGCTACTGAGGAAGCTAAGGCAGGGAGTTCCTTGAACCCAGGAGGTGGGAGGTTGCAGTGAGCTGAGATCGTGCCACTGTACTCCAGTCTGGGTGACAGAGCAAGATTCCATTTCAAAAAAAAAAAAAGGGGGGGGAGGTGTGGCCTAAACTTGAATGAAAAAGAGATTGCTGAATAGAAAATATGCAAGGATCCTGAGGGAGAGGAATATTCCAGGGGGGAATAAAGAGGATCCTTCTCTATGATACCCTGGTAAAGAAATACACTCTTTTTTGGCCAGGCATGGTGGCTCATGCCTGTAATCCCAGCACTTTGGGAGGCCAAGGCTCGCAGATCACTTGAGCTGAGGAGTTCAAGACCAACCTGGCCAACATGATGAAATCCTGTCTCTACTAAAAATACAAAAATTAGCGGGTCATGGTGGTGCACGCCTATGATCCCAGATTGGGAGGCTGAGGCAGGAGAATCGCTTTAACCTGGGAGATCGAGGTTGCAGTGAGCTGAGATTGTACCACTGCACTCCAGTCTCAAAAACAAAAACAGAGGAAGAAATTTTTTAAAAATACACTCCTTTTTGAAACTCTTACCATAAAGCACAAACCACAATCACTTTCCTAATTTCCTTTACCACAGCCAGAAATGAAATGTTTAAAGAATAGGTGGGAACAAAAGGGAAATAAATACAGAAGATTAAAATAGCATTAAAAATGATCAAATATCCACAACGCAAAGTAGTGTGAGTATTCCATCTCCTGCGTGTATTCTCTTCTCTCTTCTTGGCTTTAGGTGTGCCTGACCCTGACCGCCAAGCGCATGGCGAAGAAGAACTGCCTGGTGAAGAACCTCGAGGCAGTGGAGACACTGGGCTCCACGTCCACCATCTGCTCGGACAAGACGGGCACCCTCACCCAGAACCGCATGATCGTCGCCCACATGTGGTTTGATGAAACTGTGTATGAGGTGGACACCAGCGAAGAACAGACTGGTGACTAGTGGTATTGGGGCAACACAAGGAGGGATTGAGGGGTGTGATGAGTGAGCTGAGAGAGAATGACGTCCAGACAGAGAGGGGGGGAGCCTGAAAACGACTGGAGAAGAGAAAGGTGTGGAGGAAAAGAAATGCAGCTCCCATGAAGTATCTGGGTGCCAAAGAGGATGGGAATCATCGCTTGCTTTAAATTCTCATTCCCTGCTCACAATTCTTTTTTCCTTTCTCCCTAGGGAAAACATTTGCCAATAACTCTGATACCTGGTTTATCCTGGCCCAAATCGCTGGCCTCTGCAACCGGGCTGACTTTAAACCTAATCAGGAGACTCTGCCCATTGCTAAGGTGTCAGGCCCAAGGGGAAGAGGGTACCTCAGTGTCCAGGGTATAACCTGCCATCTCCCAAAAAATCCTTTCCTGGAACTCAGTAATTTCCCTCCAAGTACCCACCCTCCCCACTTGGCCCCTCTCCATGTTGCCACAGCTATGCCTCATGCCCAGGAAGCATGCCCCTGGGGCTTATTATACAAACCCCATCCTGGCAGAGGGCCACAACAGGTGATGCTTCCGAGTCAGCCCTCCTCAAGTTCATCGAGCAGTCTTACAGCTCTGTGGCAGAGATGAGAAAGAAAAACCCCAAGGTGGCAGAGATTCCCTTTAATTCTACCAACAAGTATCAGGTACAGAACCCACAAAGGTAGGATAATGGTGGTGGGGGATGGGCTCATCACTGGGGCAAGGGGAGCTTTGCCTCCGCCTTCAACTTCATCTCTGAGCAGGAGAGAAGTTCAATAGAGCCCGCATTCCCATTAACAGAAGCCACACACAAAAGAATGTGACAAACAGGTAAAGAGAGGTAAAATACGTGATAAAGGAAGAGGCATCAGTCAGTCCTGTGCAGAGCTCTGAGCTGTGCCACTTGGGGGAAAAGTGAGCCGTAAAATGCTCTCTGAAATGTCTGTAGATAGCAGAGGTGGGTTGGTGAAAGTCATGTTAGCGTCACACGCAGCTGTTAGGAGGCCCCTCTGTGTCTACTAGGGGATTTGCCACTGCAGAGTTAGGTTGCATTTGCAAGACACGTTATTTCACTAGCCATCAAGTATTTCCTTTCACCCCACATTTGACTTGCAGTCCTAGAGGCTGCCATCAGGTAGGCGATCAGGGGTCTCCACGTGTTCATGAAGTTTTTCATTTCCCAGGAACATTTTGGTCCAATGTCCAGGGAGGAGTGGACAAGAGCAGGGGAAACGCTGAGTGAGGGACCAGAGGGACAGGAAAGACAGTCTTTCCTCCCAAGTAGAATCCGGGCAGACTGAAGAGAGAATTACGGTAGGACGCGGGAACAGTGGTATTATCAGAGCTGGAGCTTTGTCAGGTGCAAGCTGAGTTCCATGGGGCAACCATGATTTGCTTGGGGGACTAGATTCTTCAACTCCATGCATGACTGAAAAGGCCAGACATTTAGGTGTGGGTAAAATGTCTCAGAGAAAATGAGACTCCCAAGTCAGTTGGTTTCTTTTTTTTCTTTTTTTTTCTTTCCTTCCTTCCTTCCTTCCTTCCTTCCTTCCTTCCTTCCTTCCTTTCTTCCTTCCTTCCTTCTTTTCTTTCCTTTCTTTTGAGGTGGAGTTTTGCTCTTGCTGCCCAGGCTGGAGTGCAGTGGCGCGATCTTGGCTCACTGCAACCTCTACCTCCCAGGTTCAAGCGATTCTCCTGACTCAGCCTCCCGAGTAACTGGGATGACAGGCATGCACCACCAAGACCGGGTAATTTTTGTATTTTTAGTAGAAATGGGGTTTCACCGTGTTGGCCAGACTGGTCTCGAACTCCTGACCTCAGGTGATCCAGGTGCCTTGGCCTCCCAAAGTGCTGGGATTACAGGCATGAGCCACCGTGCCCAAGGTCTAAAAACTGAATTACTCACAGTTTTACACTGAACGCTGAGCAAGTAAGAGTTAAATAGATCTATCCTCTTCTATCTCAACTGGTTTTTAGTGAGTGTAATAAAATAGGTCTCTTAGGCCCAAATGGTAAACTTATTTCCATTTTTTTCTGATGTTTAGTGGACTCACTAGCCAGACAGGAATTTTGTGGCTTGGCAGGGCCTTTAAAGGCAGCATAGCCTTTGACTAAAAAAATTAGGTACCTCTCGCTCCATGTGATTCAAAATAAAAGCAAAACATATTCAAGACATTTGTTGGGGCTGCCAACAAATAGCGACTTTCTCCCAAATGAGTATGTTGGTGCCTCTTCTGAGCTATCGAACGTGCAGCTCGAATGACAGACTTGTCCTCAGTGGTTCAGCGAGTGTGACTGGCCAGCCCACTGGCCACCAAGCTCTGGCAGGCACTTGCTCTCGAAGGCCCTCAGTTTGCTGCCTTCCTTAGCTTGCCCTAAAGGTAGAAACTCCGGTCTTTGCGAGAGACATCTCAGACTGCTGGTGGTTTGCAGAGCTTGGTCTGCTACCCTCTGAGATAAAAATGAAACGAAGAAGCTGCTCTGTTCCAGCATTTCCAGACTTCTCCCTCCGTTTTTTTTATTTGTAATTTTCTATCAAGATGTGATTTCTTCCGTGACCAAATTGCTAGTAGGTCTTGCTGTCACCTCCTGAGCCCTTCAGTTATTCAACACATTTTACTGAGCACTCAGAAAACAGCTCTTTAAACCTCTTCCAGCTTTCTGCCTCAGTGAGTTACGGTTCTTCCTCTTAATTGCTTCAGCATATTTTGAACGTAACTGAACAAACGAACGGAACAGTTGTAACCAGGTTTTGTGCGCTGGTTTCCCACCCTGCTTACCCTGTGGGCACTATAGTCTGGCCTCCTCTGCACTCCCACTGTTCCTTTCAATGTGTCGATTTTGTTCTCAATAGGCGACCTAGCGGGCATTTCCTGTCCATCACAAGAGGAACCCCATGGAGAGCTCCTTTTCATATATCAGAGATCAAGAGGAAATGCAAAACCCACATTTCTCTCTCCTTGCTGCGGGGTGTCCCCTCGGGTTCATTTCAAAAATGTTCCCTTCCCTCCCCCACCACAGCTACAAGGACCCCCGTGCCCAGCCACACTAGCTAGGCCCTTTCAGGGGACTTCTCACGCTTTTAGGAGACAGAGGCCCAGGGACTAGAATGACTAATTTATTTTTGGATTGTACTTCACAGTTTTCAAAGTATTTTCTACACTATT